CCTTTGAAAACAAACCCAAGAAATGGCATACCCAAAATAGATCCATGAATCTTTTAGACCTATTAATTTTTGTCTCATATGAAATACACTTGTGATTTTGTTGTCATCAAGTAAGAATGAATTGCAATCATAAAGAAGAATAGTTATAAAGGCTTAAATGTGCTGTAATAATATAGACAGACAGATAGATGGATGGATGGATGGATGGATGGATGGATAGATAGATAGAGAGAAATAAAGAGACACAAAAAAACATTTATTAAAATGAAGTGTGTAGTGCTATAAAAAAATAATATGACAGCACAGATCATTTTGCGTTTAGAATGTGATGAGAAATACTTGAGATCAAATTGAATTGAATCATATTGAGCTTTGGTTACAGACTTATGAAGGCAGTGAGTTTCTTAGCAGAACAATCTGAGAAGCATGAAGACTCACATTTTTTTAAGTCCCATTAGTATGAGTAACATTTGAGATCTTAAAGATATATAATTTATGTGTTTTTTATTTTATTTTTCCCTGTGGGTGGCCATGCGCTCTCTGCGCTCTAATAAGATTACTCCCACGCCACGGCAGGTGCATATTCACCAATTTGAGCTCTCAAAATTGATGACTGCCATTAAAGCGGAGGAGACCACGGAAGCTGGATCGCATTGCCACCCAACTTCCTGATATTTTCTCTCTGCCTGGGAACCCACGCTTTCCTCGGGAGTGAATTAAAGACAGAGGGCAGCAGAGCTCCTAAACCCGACTGCTCGGGATGTGTTCGGCACTGAGGAGTTTCTGATACTCTCCAGCCATCTGAGGAGGATTTGCATGGCTTTACAACTCACGCAGTAAGACTTTCTGCGCTTCTTCAATCGCTGCGCAGTAGCGCGTCAAGGAAAGTTAGTGGCATTTTGCGCGCATAGCGAGTTTTTGGATTGTTATTCCGATGGTTGACAAGTCGTTGGATGAGGAGGTGAGTGACTAAATAAGGGGTTTATTTCTCTTTGGGTCGGCTGCTCTGAATCTCTTTTGGGGCTCGGGTTGTGTGGAATGTGAATAGTATCTTCGGTTCTTGGCGCGTAACGGCGCCTGGAAATGTTGTGAATTTTTGCACAGGACGCGTTGACGTGCTAGCAATTGCATTTGGAAGATTTATTGATGAAAACCGGCAAGTGGTTTGGATACAGTGACTGACACAGTTTTCCAGCCTGACGTGAGGGATGTGTCTACAGGACTCCGGATTACCGTATGCTCATCCTATTACGCCGCGCATTCCCGCAATCTGTTGCCTCCGCGTTTAATTCATTTAACGAAAGTAAAATAGAAATCGATCAGATTCACTCAAACATTGATTACAGCCTAACATATAACATCATTACGCATGGAAAGTTTGACTTGCATTCAATCGTTGCATTTACACAGTAGGCTACTACAGTTACTACAGCCATTCATAATATTGTAAAATCGTACAATTAACGTGAGATCGTTTTTAAAAATGATCTGTCTTTTTAAGTTATTTTATGACAGTGGTGACTATTAAACCACAGCTGTAACAATATCTGGTAATCATGATATTTTTGTCGTAATTAACTGTTTATCATGGTAATTTTGTTTTGTCAATGAAATAGATAATGATAAAAAATAATGAACTTATGACGAAGATCCATCTTAACATTTAAAAAGTGAAATGAGGAGGAATTTCAACCTGACCTGACCCTTGAAAAAGACTTCTGTTGATGTAACCTATGGTAGTTTGGTTGATTTAGTAATATTAAAGAAACTTATTGAATAAAACCTAATTCATTTTGGTATTACAACATGAAGAACATTCTGAATGGTTTAATTTAAGTTATTCCTCAACCGAACCAGAGATATCTTCTCTTTTTTTAGTCTAGTTTTGATGTCAGAATTATAATTGATCAGCATTCTGAAAAGAAGAAAACACCTTTGTAGCTTTGATGGTCAAAACCCGCAGAAAATCATTTAAATCTCATTAATATCTCAGTTCTTTCTCCTAAGTAGAAATTATATTAAATCGAGAAGGCTTGTTCTTTTGGGAAACAGCTCACCTACTGTATGTCCTCAACAATGTCTCAAACTCCAAAGACTGATATCAGTACAAGCTCAAACCTTTATCAAATTCCTCCAAAACCAAATGACCTGAGCTATGGAATCCTCTTTTGTTTATCATTAAGTTTAATTCTCAAGTAATTTTTAAAGAAGCATCCAAAACAAACAAAACTGATACTTAAAATTCTACTGTAAGAGAGGGTCTCCTGAGCTATAAAAAAAAGCAAATTCTGAACAATATAATTTTACTTCGGAGAACCTCCATATCTCAGTGTTCCTCTAGATATGTCAGTGCGATCCGACACCAGAGATGAATTACGAAGTTAGGCCGTATAGAAGGAGCTGGTGTGGAACTACAGCAACACGAAATGCCAAGAGAACACAATGAAGTGCTGCTGGTCTTCTGTAGTGATAACCTCCTCTACCCCTCCTTTCCTCATTAATTATTGACCCCCACCACATGTTCCTCGACTCCCGTGTTATTTGTGATGGTGTCTGTCTCCGTGCTGCAGGTTAGGTCAACAGCTTGTGAGTCACCCAGTGGGTCTATTAGCATGACGCCGTGTTTACCCTTTTTAAATATTTACAGAAATAGACATGCTGGTGGGTTTAACGCTAAATTAAATGAGCGTATCCAAACTTCCTCAGCTAACAAAAATATTTAAACAATAATCTCTGATTTTTTTTATTTACAACTTTGAAAAATTATTTTTTTTCAGTGTATACTTTTGCAGGTCACAAACTTAAAATCCAAATACAACTGACCCAAAAGATGTTCACATACTTGTGCATGTACATTTTAAGAGATATTATGTATGATAAGTTATGTCATCAATTACTCTCCCTCACGTTGTTCCAAACCAACTTCGAAACACAAATGAACACGTCAGTACATACATAGAGCTCATCAAATACATTCACCAGCAGTGTTTAAATATTTACAGAAACAGTCAATTAAATGAGCTTATCCGACCTTATCCCCAAATAAATAAATAAACAATTTCCTTACAGTATAGCAGAATACAGAAGACTCCTATATACTTTGAACAATCTATATTTCGTATACTCTAGCAGGTCTCAAGCTCAAAATCCAAATCCAAATGAGCCAAAAATGTCCATGTACTTGTTCACTGCATTTCAAGAGATTTGGTCATTAATTACTCATGTTCAATGGATAGTTTATTCAGAAATAATCAATTACTAACCTTCATGTCATTCCAAACCCTTTTGTTCACCTTCGAAATATAAATTAACACGTCAACACACATACATAATGCTCATCGAATATGGCCAACAGAAGCTTTAAAATATGTACAGAAATAAACACATGCTCATGGGTTTTACAGTAAATTAAAAGAGCTTATCCAACCCAATTCCACTGCTGACAAAAAATATTTAAACCTAATTTCCTTACAATAAAATAGAATACAGAAGATATCATTTCTGTATTTCTAACATCAATTCTTTGTGTATGAATTCATATCGGCTATTTTTAAATTGCCAATGTGGCCAAAAGCCAAGATCCGTCGCTTTTTAGTTATGTCCTACATGCTTGGGATTCTGTATATTTCAGCGTACCCTCCCCACCCATCGTGCTTGGCGTGGGTTGATTCATTGCAAGGCTGCCCATCATTGTTTCACTGTCTCTGGGATCTCTGATTTTTTGATATTTTTAACTTTGAAAAAAAAATGTTTTTCAGTGTATACTTTTGCAGGTCACAAACTTAAAATCCAAATACAACTGACCCAAAAGATGTTCACATACTTGTGCATGTGCATTTTAAGAGATATTATGTATGATAAGTTATGTCATCAATTACTCTCCCTCATGCTGTTCCAAACCAACTTCGAAACACAAATGAACACGTCAGTATATACATAGAGCTCATCAAATACATTCACCAGAAGTGTTTAAATATTTACATATAAACAGTAAATTAAATGAGCTTATCCGACCTTATCCCCAAATAAATAAATAAACAATTTCCTTACAGTATAGCAGAATACAAAAGACTCCTATATATATATATATATATAT